AGTGTTTGTTTACAGTATTGAGCGTCTGATCTGTTATTATAGTATTTGTTTACAGTATTGAGCGTCTGATCTGTTATTATAGTATTTGTTTACAGTAGTGAGCGTCTGATCTGTTATTATAGCGTTTGTTTACAGTATTGAGCGTCTGATCTGTTATTATAGTTTATGTTTACAGTATTGAGCGTCTGATCTGTTATTATAGCGTTTGTTTACAGTATTGAGCGTCTGATCTGTTATTATAGTGTTTGTTTACAGTATTGAGCGTCTGATCTGTTATTATAGCGTTTGTTTACAGTATTGAGCGTCTGATCTGTTATTATAGTGTTTGTTTACAGTAGTGAGCATCTGATCTGTTATTATAGCGTTTGTTTACAGTATTGAGCATCTGATCTGTTATTATAGCGTTTGTTTACAGTATTGAGCATCTGATCTGTTATTATAGCGTTTGTTTACAGTATTGAGCGTCTGATCTGTTATTATAGTGTTTGTTTACAGTATTGAGCGTCTGATCTGTTATTATAGCGTTTGTTTACAGTATTGAGCATCTGATCTGTTATTATAGCGTTTGTTTACAGTATTGAGCGTCTGATCTGTTATTTTAGTGTTTATGTTTACAGTAGTGAGCGTCTGATCTGTTATTACAGCGTTTGTTTACAGTATTGAGCATCTGATCTGTTATTATAGCGTTTGTTTACAGTATTGAGCATCTGGGGCTCGTTCTTCGTACGTCGCTAACTCAGTTAGCTGGATTTGATTGTTGGCGATTTGGCATGATCTTGGATCGTTTGGTTCTTCGACGCTCATCCTGGACTTGCTGTCATAGCAACAGGTCCGTCAGCTTGAACCTGCTCGCGAGCAGGCTTATTTCATGTAAACAGGATTAGATCGCGGCTGATACGGGAAGTCCTTCAGCGCAGCGCGATAGTGTGTAGCCTAATTTCTGAGAATTATTTTTGTTTTCTCGTGAAACGATCGTCGTGAGGGTGTCGTTTAAATACATTATTATTTTGTTGGAAATGCACATTAATGTTTGATTCGATGTCGGGCTTCAACAACAGTACAAAATGTTTGCATTGCCCTAAAATTATTTGCGAGTGGTTTCCTTTACACTACTGGAGATGCGGAGAACTTGATAAGCTTTCTGTCGTGCCATTCACAAAGTAGTGCTCTTACTTTTTTTTTTTTTGCCACAATGACATGAGCTTTGGCCAACTAAAGGGAAGATTTCAGGGTCTAAAAAGCCTGAGGGTTGCACCTGACAGGGCCTGTGACATTGCATGTGCCATATTACACAACACTGCCAACATCAGAAAAAAAAAAAAAAGTTTCATTAAGCCTAAAATAAAAGACAAGACAAATTTGCAAAACTCTATTTGCTTAGAGTTTTATTTCAATTGTTCTTTGTAAAGAAAAGCCAGTTATTCAGTCATCTTTTTAAAAGATATTATGCAAGGTCAGCAATAGTCTGTGTGATTTTACTCTGAAGTTTATTTTGAAGCAATTCTATTTCTAGTGCAATTTTTTCTTAGTCAAGTTCTGTTTCTCCCCCTGATTTTTGTTTTTTCAAAATACTCTATTTTCTGTTGAAGACTCATATAGGGGACGAATTTAACCCTGTGTCGTTTGTGTCACACATGCCTCATGCAACAAATAAAAAGCAAAAGTTGTCTACACTGCCCACCCCTGTATCACTGCTGTGTGCAGACTCTTCTGTAGGCCTTTCTGTACATGTGGACTCCTGTCAGAAATAACAGGCATAGGCACAAGTAGAAATCAATTAAAGCCATCAATTAAATTAAAGTTCTTCCTCCAAAGGACAGTCATCTGAGAAGTTTTCTTCACTCTCCAGTGCAATGTGATTGATAACTCATGGCAAAATATTTTTACATTAACATAAGTTTATCAGTTTTTACTTTCAAAAGACAAAGCAATTTATCATTACTCAAGATTTAACAGCTGAAATGACTAAACCATGGTTTAATTTGGCTTATAGGTCCACTTCATTTAATGCAGCAACAAATTATTTCATAGTGTACAAAGATAATTTAAATCTCATTTCCCAGTGATGAAGGTGTTGCTGCTGCTGGTCCCTGATGTGTGTCTGGAAGAGCTGAACCCAGGGATGCCCTTCACAACAGGGCAATTCACATTCAATCCAAGGGTCAGCTCTTCTGCCAGGGTCAGGAGCATCATTATTATTTTTTTCTCAGCCTTTTTCCTGGTTGCTTTTATAAACAGACAATCATTTATTTAACAGTGCCTTTTTAAAAGACTAGTAGGCCTATAAGGCCTAAAATTACCATTAAGTAGAATATTTTTGTACTTCACTTTCACCATGTTTATTATTATAGTGTGGTGACTCGACATTACAATGAACAAAGTAATTATGAAATTATGAAAATAAAAATAAAATAATAATAAGTTATTAAAACATCTAACATGGTCACCACAAACGCATTTAATTTGTCTTCTAGTTTTGCCAGCACTCTCTCCTGGCTTTTGCACACTTTGAGGTGTTCCCTGGCGTTTTAATTAAAGACTGAAATTCGGCATAACCTTGCATTAAAAGCGCTTGCTCTGCTTGGGAGAAAAACTGGGCGTGTTCTTTGGCCATGCTGAACAGCCAATAGCAGCGCTGCTGATCACTGGTTCTGCTATCGATACATGTACCCTTTTAAACCAACGCGAGAACGCGCAGTTATCTCAGATAACTCAATCCAGCGATACTAATCATAAACAACAGGTGTGTTCGAAGAACCCAATTAGCCGAATCATGATTAGCACGATGATATCATCTTAGATCTCTCATTTGATCTCGGATGTTTTAAGCAACGTACGAAGAACGAGCCCCTGATCTGTTATTATAGCGTTTGTTTACAGTATTGAGCGTCTGATCTGTTATTATAGTGTTTGTTTACAGTATTGAGCGTCTGATCTGTTATTATAGCGTTTGTTTACAGTATTGAGCGTCTGATCTGTTATTTTAGTGTTTATGTTTACAGTAGTGAGCGTCTGATCTGTTATTATAGTGTTTGTTTACAGTATTGAGCGTCTGATCTGTTATTTTAGTGTTTATGTTTACAGTATTGAGCGTCTGATCTGTTATTATAGTGTTTGTTTACAGTATTGAGCATCTGATCTGTTATTTTAGTGTTTATGTTTACAGTATTGAGCGTCTGATCTGTTATTATAGCATTTGTTTACAGTAGTGAGCATCTGATCTGTTATTATAGTGTTTGTTTACAGTATTGAGCGTCTGATCTGTTATTATAGTATTTGTTTACAGTATTGAGCGTCTGATCTGTTATTATAGTGTTTGTTTACAGTAGTGAGCGTCTGATCTGTTATTATAGCGTTTGTTTACAGTATTGAGCGTCTGATCTGTTATTATAGTTTATGTTTACAGTATTGAGCGTCTGATCTGTTATTATAGCGTTTGTTTACAGTATTGAGCGTCTGATCTGTTATTATAGTGTTTGTTTACAGTATTGAGCGTCTGATCTGTTATTATAGCGTTTGTTTACAGTATTGAGCGTCTGATCTGTTATTATAGTGTTTGTTTACAGTATTGAGCGTCTGATCTGTTATTATAGTGTTTGTTTACAGTAGTGAGCGTCTGATCTGTTATTATAGCGTTTGTTTACAGTATTGAGCATCTGATCTGTTATTATAGCGTTTGTTTACAGTATTGAGCATCTGATCTGTTATTATAGCGTTTGTTTACAGTATTGAGCGTCTGATCTGTTATTATAGTGTTTGTTTACAGTAGTGAGCGTCTGATCTGTTATTATAGCGTTTGTTTACAGTATTGAGCATCTGATCTGTTATTATAGCGTTTGTTTACAGTATTGAGCGTCTGATCTGTTATTTTAGTGTTTATGTTTACAGTAGTGAGCGTCTGATCTGTTATTATAGCGTTTGTTTACAGTATTGAGCATCTGATCTGTTATTATAGCGTTTGTTTACAGTATTGAGCATCTGATCTGTTATTATAGCGTTTGTTTACAGTATTGAGCATCTGATCTGTTATTATAGCGTTTGTTTACAGTATTGAGCATCTGATCTGTTATTATAGCGTTTGTTTACAGTATTGAGCGTCTGATCTGTTATTATAGTGTTTGTTTACAGTATTGAGCGTCTGATCTGTTATTATAGCGTTTGTTTACAGTATTGAGCATCTGATCTGTTATTATAGCGTTTGTTTACAGTATTGAGCGTCTGATCTGTTATTTTAGTGTTTATGTTTACAGTAGTGAGCGTCTGATCTGTTATTATAGTGTTTGTTTACAGTATTGAGCGTCTGATCTGTTATTTTAGTGTTTATGTTTACAGTATTGAGCATATGGTCTGTTATTATAGCGTTTGTTTACAGTATTGAGCGTCTGATCTGTTATTATAGTGTTTATGTTTACAGTATTGAGCGTCTGATCTGTTATTATAGTGTTTGTTTACAGTATTGAGCGTCTGATCTGTTATTATAGCGTTTGTTTACAGTATTGAGCATCTGATCTGTTATTATAGTGTTTGTTTACAGTATTGAGTGTCTGATCTGTATAGTGTTTATGTTAACAGTATTGAGCATCTGATCTGTTATTATAGTGTTTGTTTACAGTATTGAGCGTCTGATCTGTTATTATAGTGTTTATGTTTACAGTATTGAGCGTCTGATCTGTTATTATAGTGTTTGTTTACAGTATTGAGCGTCTGATCTGTTATTATAGCGTTTGTTTACAGTATTGAGCGTCTGATCTGTTATTATAGTGTTTATGTTTACAGTATTGAGCGTCTGATCTGTTATTATAGTGTTTGTTTACAGTATTGAACGTCTGATCTGTTATTATTTTAGTGTTTACACTGATCTGTTATTATTATTATAGTGTTTATCAGTATCTCAAGCATCTATAATGCTTGTGTTCTCCGTGATGATACAGTATTGTGTGTCTGATCTGATATATGTTATTTTTGTGTATTGTGAGTTATCAGTGTGTGATTATGTTTACCGTCGGGGGTCTGATCTTGCAGATGCCCGTGTTTTCTGCGATGTCTCGGATCTTGTGGATAAAACCGAACGGGTCGCTGAAGTCCTGCCAGCTGGGCTCGAACACCGGACACTCCGGAGGAGCCACGAACTCACCGAGCTGAGACATCATCTGATACACACACACACACACACACACACCGATCGCTACGCTACACGCATCATCAGACCGTGTTTACATCGACGAAGCGATCTTCATGCGTTGGTCCCCGTCAGCTCCTCATCTCTGACGGCTGTCCCCCAGAAGCTGCGGGAACACACGAACAAGAGCCCGGGGACACGTTAGCTCGATGCTGGAGCTGAAGAGTGTATTGTCCTCGGGTCGAACAAAAGCCTCCGTCGCTTCCGGGTCCCTTCACCGCGTCTCCGCGCGCATTCCTGCCCGGTTCACACCCGTCCCCCTTCAGCCTTCATCGATCTTACCCGTGAGCCCTGCGAGAGACCGATCGGGTTTACTCCAGCAATAACAGACCCACGGCCACACAAACACGGTTAGCTTCTTCCGCTAGCCTAGCCCTGCTGCTCAAGTGTTTCCGGAAGTGTCACCTTTCACCCCACCACGGCTCTACTTCCGCTTCACTCTGAGGGTGAGCGCGACCCGGGTCAAAATAAAGTATACCGAATCGCACTAAATACAAGCCGGAACAGTTGTAAAAGTTATACACTATAAATACATCTATTAAACTATAAATACACTTATTAAAAGTATATTTCTACATCAGCAGTGCACAAAAATATTCCACTAATACTTAAAATAGATTTCAGCACATTGAACGTACATCTGGCCAGATTTTTACAAAACTTTTGATGCTGTTGAGCATTCTTTTATTTTGAAAACCATATGTATATTTAATAGAAATAATGGACATAGCTCTGTAGCTCTAGGGCATGGAACCTGCTCAAGTCTTCCAGTTAAAAGGTTTTGTCAGGGATGTAGCTCTCCGTAATTATTTATAATGGTTGCAGAGTTATTATCTTGATTAAAAATAATGGTATTGAAGGTCTTACAGTGTTGGATAGACATAGTTCAAAAGTTCAAGTTCAAAGTTTATTGCCATTTGCACTTACAGTTCAGTATAGGTACATTGAAATTCTTGTGCGTATCTCAGAGTCAGGTTTTAAATAGAGTAAAGTAACATAAAACTATAAATCTCACATTTAAACTAGTACAGAGGACTGTAAGAATAATCTTAACTGAATAAATACACATTATAGTAAATAATAATAATGTAGCATGTACAACAAAATAGAAACTGTAAATATATATATATATACTATTGCACTGATCATTACAAAATTTAAAAACATGGAATAGGGTACTTTTTGCCCTCCTTAATGTCCTGTGCCACTAGCCTAACAGTGGCTGGAAAAAAGCTATTAAACAGACGGGCATTGTGGGTACTGATGCTCACAGGCCTATGATGTCTCAGGTTATAGCCTGTGTCCACCCATTTGAACAAGGTGCAAGCTGGGTGATGTTTGCCCTTAAGCATGCCCTGTGCTCTCCGTCTGCAGCGCTGGATATATATAGTGTCCAAAGAGGAGAGGCTGGAGCCGATAACCCTCTCTGCAGTTTTTATGACCTGTTGCAGTGATTTCCTTTCAGTCAGGGTGGTGTTACCATACCACACTGTGATACCACTGGTTAGGATACTTTGAACAAGACCTCTGTAAACATGGGTTAGGGGTTGGCGTTGTAGTCCGGCCTTCTTTAATACTCTGATGAAATGCAGTCTCTGCTGAGCTCTTTTCACCGTTGCCCAGCTGAGATTTTCTGAGATATGGAGTCCTAAGAACTTATAGCTGTCAGTCCGCTCTACCTCAATGCCCTTAAGGCTGCTGTGGAGAGGGGGCTCTCCTCCTAAAATCCAGAATAACTTCCTTTGTTTTGTCGATGTTGAGGACAAGATCATTGTCCTCCCCATAGAGGGTGACCTTATGGACCATGTCCCTGTATGATGACTCGTCATCCTCTCTGATGAGGCCAAGGATAGTTGTATCATCTGCAATATTATCATTATTCTCTACATATAATTATAAGTCAGTTTGCTGACGATTGTTTCTTAAAAGTGAATATCAAATTCCACTAGCTTACATATTAACCAGTTTTCTAAAGCTTCAGGGCTACATGTAAACCTAAACAAATGTGTAATGCGCTAACATTGCATGAGTTTCCTTCGCAGTCATTATCTAATATACAAATTAAAAGGGCCGCTACATATTTGGGGATTATTATTTCTGATGATAAAGATGTTATGGAGAATAAAAATGTGCTGAATAACATAGATATAACAAAATTAACTCATTTTAATTTCCCTTCATATCTGAAATATTACCTAAATCCTTCTAACACTCAGTACAATTTAAGGCACACGGAACAGTTAATTAATCATACACCGAATTAATAAAGTAATAGGACGTTGTGCATGTAATTAAAGCTCCATCAGATTGGAACGATCTTCCCTGCTCGCTCCGATCTATAGCCTCTTTTTATTTTCAAATCATCTCTTTTACGAATCTTCAAACATTATGTTCTTGTTTTTGATTCATTTTTTTTAATTTTTTTTTTTTAATTCTATTTAGATATCTGTATGGGTTTATGGATGTTTGTAAGAATATCCATATCTGTATTTTCATTTTTCGAAGATGGTTTATTGACCTGTTTTTGATGATGGTAGTAGGGGGCAAATGGGATGCGAGTAGGTTTATGGGAGACACTCTCAAAGGGGCCTAATAAGGGGAGAGCCTCAGCTTTAGGGCTGATGCAAGAAGGGCCTGGGCCGTAGGGAGTGTGCAGATTCAGAGCGCAGTGTTATGCAAGATTTAAATGCAGCCGAGCGTCCCTACACCTCTCTGAACTTTCCCATCACAGCCTCAATGGAGGAGCCGAAAACATTCAGAAGGCGACACTGGTGCAACGAGAAGAAAGGCTTTTCTCCGACATCGAGCGTCCTGATCGCGTTTGTTTGACGAGAGCTAAATCTGTTTTGCAGTGCAGGGGAAAGACCCCAACCTTGTTCCAAATAGTACAGGAAATAAGTTGCATGTGCCATCAAGTGTCAATTTCTTAAACACGGATCCACACACTTCCTGAAGTGTTTTTCACACGCCATGGGAAGTTTTGAAGATTTCAGATTGAAACGTACAGACAAAACAGTCCCTGGAGACAAAAAAAGGAAGACACCTTCTCTAGGCGCCCCTAGTATCTGGGTCACACTAGTAGGGAGATCATAGGCTGTCGCCGGTCAATAACCCCCCCCCCCCTTTCAAAATACTCTGTTGATTTTGATCTTACATAAGTGTTATTCATCAGTCCATCCTGTTAAGTGTCTTTTTTGTGTATAAAAACAAAGTGTTGTGCTTTTCAACAAATAAAAAAAAATAAACATGATGCACGTTCTACCGTCCTGTCAGTGAAGTCCGATGTGAAACGCGTCCGAAAATGAGCTGCAAGTCAGCAAATACTCAGTCAAGAAGGAATACAGGAATATTAATAGTTTAAAAGAATTACAACTGCTTTCTATATCATTTGAGCGAAATGTTTCCTCCCAATCAATCATTTTCAAGGCTGTATTAAGATTCTTTGTTTGATTCTTAGGTAATTTAATATCAGAGGAATGAAGAGCAATGTTTGTTTTTAGATACCTCTTTTTTGAAAGCTTCCTCGAAAATAAAATCATATTGTGGTCTGATAAACCAGTAAAAAAGTTAAAAGTCGTAATAATTCGGTTTGGCTTATTGCTGAACAGAAGATCTATGCTTGTCTGAGTCTTATTCTTAAGTGCTTAATAAGTGAATCGCGTGTCTGTGTGTGAATGAATGAACTGCGCGTGTGCTGTTTTTACTAGAACAGCTTGCATCTGTGCCGTATAAGCAACTTATAAATCTCCAAATTAACATTTATATGCTAATATATCATAAAACAATAGGTTACAGATGAAATATGAATGTTGATTAGTTTTGGATAGATTATAATCCAATCCAATCCAATAATTACAATCCTAACAATATGAATAGAAAAAGAACGAAAAAAATCCATTCACTCTATTGGCTGTACAGCCGCAGAAAAGTTGACCAATGTAAGCTGTGCGGCCGCACAGGTTATATTGGTCAACTGCTCTCATCCAATCACCAGCTCCACTTGAAACTCCGCCTGGCGCTCGCGTCTCCAACCCAACCGCCCCCGCCCGTGCGTGAGCAAACAGCTGACAGACTGTCTATGGTAGCTAGCTAGTAGCGTCAGATCAGCAATGGATAAAGCAATGGATAAAAATATAAACGACAACAACAAGCGGCCCCTGCTTGCCTCTACTGTAAAGTTTGGACGCAAGAGAAAGTCTGTGGAGGAAAGATCAGAGATTAAAAAGAAATGTGAAGAACGTCGGACTCTAAGTAGGATAAATATAGCGTCCTTCATTGACCGTTGGAGAAAGCCTCAGGGAGATCTGGGGCTGAAAACGACGCTGACACGGATGACTTTTTGTTGAGTAGGTAAACATTTATTTATTCTTTTATGGTGTGACGTGTTACGTGGCTTTTTATCAGTTTGACAACTTGCTCATGCTGCCGGTCGGCATTGGAATGTTAGCCGTTTAGCATCGCCGATCGCGGTTCAAAGTAATTATATTTCTTGTTCGAGCCGATCGGAATTTGAACAAGATGCGCTGCGTGCTGCAATAACAATTACTGAAAACCTTAGCAATACTAGTAGTAGTATAATGGTGGTGGGGAGTTTAGAACATTTCATGTGTTGCTAATCTTGCGTTGACGTGAACTCAAACGTGACATACGTCAGGGATCAGGTAGCGCAGAGGGGAGGGGGGTGTGTGTGGAGGGGCGGGATGAGTTTTTTAAAACTTTCCTACCGTCTCGACCGATTTTTAACATCGTATACCATAGCTTTAATGTCAAGTTTTCATAACAAAGACATTTTAAACAATGTCAACTTTGCATTAAAATTTACCGAATGACACTTAATGACAACAGTCATAAACATTCATAAAGACTCCTTCATGTTCATGACAGGTGTTATGTCATGTTTATGACAGTGTCATGTCAGTCTTATGCACATCCCTTCAAATAAAGTGTTACCAAGCCTTCTCATTACATTTTCTATTATTGTTTTTTATTAGTGACACATTTGGGGAGATGTATATATATTCCAAAACTTTCTGAAAATACAGTGTGTGAATTAACTGCATAGTTATTAGAAATGTTTATCTTGGATATTTTACTATTTGCATACATACAAAATTCCTCACATTCTTTCTTGTGGTACCAGCTAATTTTCTTCTCAGTTGTGAATTATTCATGATTATTCATACCCCCATGCACATCGCTTTTCCAATCAAAAGTGTCTTACAAAGTTTAAATCAATCTACAAAGTTTAAATCAATCTACAAAGTTTAAATCAATCTACAAAGTTTAAATCAATCTACAAAGTTTAAATCAATCTACATTGACTTACAATTCACCTTTGGCTAAGCCACGCCCCGCTTAGTTACTGTTGCTACGTCCGTCAAACTTCATCTGGGCTCTGGTTTGGTATCAACATGGCTTATGCTGTGACAGCTCTTCCTGCTGAAATGTTATCTCACTTTTATAAAGCAGCAAATAAAGAGTCCGATAGAAGTAGGCAAAAGGGGCTGCAATATGCGTTCAAAGTCTATATTCAAGACAAGAAACAACAAGGCATCCAAATAGAGACAAAAGCATAACGTTACCGGTCACAGTCAAAAAATGAACAGCCGCATTTCCTACTAATGGAGACGGAGGCTGGAACTAACAATATCAGGGAGCAACACTGTTCATGCAAAGCTGGGTAGGTCTCTATTCACTTCTATAATCGTTATTACCAAGCAAACTGTAAGAAAAAATGAAGTGGAGGTCAAACATCTCAAAAATGAAGTTTATTACAGCATAGCAGTGGCAAGGCACACGACTCACCTTGGGTTCAACGGCGTCAGAATGAACCCAGAACATTCAAATCGTCCACCTTTTATCCTGTTACTGTCCTCTTCATGTAAATGAAGTTGCTTCTGTTGTAACAGCTGTGTTAAATTCCTCTTCACTCTTAGCATGGAGCTGAAGCTCTGTCTTAAATGTAAATTGAGGATAACAACAAAAGTGGTCCCTCTGTGCCTACATCTTTGATCTTCTTTCAATTAAGAATGGCCCAAATGTTTAAGGTAAAAACATCTATTTGAAGCCCCCTAATCAAGATGGTTCTCGAATACCCAGTCGCTCCCACGTTATAGATGATAACCGTGACTCTGTGACATTATTACTGATTGTAAGTAATTGATTCTATGATAAATAAGCTAATTTAAGTGAAGGAACGTTTCAATATATCTATATTGGAGTGGAAGTTGGATGGGGCAGACTATAATTTCTTACAAAACAGACTACACGAGTATAACGTTGTATTTATTAGCAGCGTGTGCTAGCGTATCAACAACCGGTATGAGAACCAAAATCATAACCTAAAACATTATAAAACGGTCTAACTACCATAACTGCACAGTAAGGTTAAGCCAAGTTCACACTACAGGATTTTAAGCCCAATTTGCAAATCGTTGAGTCGCCGACAGGTCAGGGTGTTATCGCGTGCAAATCACGGGGGATTAGCGGACGATGAACGCTTGCCAATCTGTTAGTATGAAAGAGCCAACAACGCAGCGAAAACGCTCGCAGACGCGTCGCCGAGCCCAGAAAAATATCTAGCCTGCTAGGTATCCAGAGCCGCCGCGCGACTCAAACTCAGTGATGTCATGAGTACAGCCAATCATAGCAACGCATGGGTTGAGGACACCAGGTAAATCTTACTTTTTTTTTTGCATTTTTTTCCTCAGAGCAGATCGTCACGCAAACGGTGTGCAGCACTAGTTTTTGTCGGATGTCCATATTCACGTGTTGTGTTTTCTTCTTCGCTGGTATTGGCGCACGTGCTGTTTCGCGTCATTTCTGGTTCGTTTTATTGCTGGTTTTTCCTGACAAAACGTGGAGTGTAGACAAGATAGAATTGTTGGTTGGGGGACAGAGTTGTTGTCAACTCGGTATTTGTTTGATTATTTTCAGGATTTAGACCGTACCATAGTACTGAAACAGTTCTTATTAGAGTCACAAATGATTTGCTCTTATCATCCGATCGTGGTTGTATCTCTATGTAGTGCGTTGTCAACTCGTGTAGTGCGTCACCTCCTGTTGTGGATCAATCACGCTGTGTTGTGTGGTGTGAACAGCTCAACAACTTGAACACTCCTGATTTCACTGAGAGCAAGTCATGTAGTGTGAACCGCACAGTTCAGCCCAACGTTTTAAAATCATGTAGTGTGAACAAGGCATTAGAAGCAAGAAAGATGTGCTTGTTGATCTTTGAGGGGTTTAGCTGACTGAGGACATCCATACATTTTAATACAAAGACGACAGACTTCGGTTTTGGGAAGGGAAAAAAACGGACACCCCCTCCAACCTCTCTGGGAAACGCGTATCTTACAAATGCCCCAGGCACATCGTTTAACCATATTTTCAGACTGATCTCATGAAGTAGCGTGTGTATGACACGCCAATTTGTATTTCCATTTTTGGCGTCCTATCAAGATGCATAATCGCCTTTCAGCGTGTTTATGAACGCCGTTGACTTAACGTTATATAAATATATGACTTACCTCAACCCCGTCCCTAAACCTAACCGTCACTGGGGTTAATGGCATTTATTACTGGAGATTTGACTGTGTGTACGGACACGCGGAATGACGCGGACGTTAACGGCGTAGACATACACGCGGATAGCTCAAAATGCATAAAGATAACACGAGAAAGTCAATGGAGAGCAGTGAAAAAGTGTCGGACCTCTGTGGGAGCTCATTCTTGGCTGCGCTGTGGTTGGTCAATCTACATTCTAGGGCGTGGCTTAGCCAAAGGCGAATTGCTATATGTCAGAGGTCGCACACCTTTGGAGCAACTAGGGGTTAAGTGTCTTGCTCAGGAACACATTGGTGTCTCACAGTGGATTCGAACCTGGGTCTCTCACACCAAAGGCATTTGTCTTATCCACTGCGCCATCACCACCCCCTCACCACCCCTTGACTTGACTAGAATAGACTAGGCTAGACTTGACTTGACTTGGACTTGACTTCACTAGGCTAGACTTGACTTGGACTTGACTTGGCTAGACATTTACATTCATTTAGCTGACGCTTTTAACCAAAGCGACCTAAAATTGCTATATATGTCAAGAGGTCGAACGCCTCTGGAGCAACTAGGGGTTAAGTGTCTTGCTCAGGGACACATTGGTGTCTCAGTTGATTCGAACATGGGTCTCTCACACCAAAGGCATGTGTCTTACCCACTGCGCCATCACCACCCCATTCTCACAATCTAATGTGTCATGTGAATGATTAGGCAGGATGATTTTCAGATCATTTTGAAGCAAAAACTCTAGACGACAACATCCATTAGTCAAAAGTTTTGTAGGCACATATTTAGTATGTTTTGTGGTCTTAAATCAGAAACTTTTTTCCATAAGCATGCATAAACATTATTATCTCAAAAATACAAACATGTACATACAATGTTGCTCACATATTATGGTCGCCCTGTTTGAGCTAAATAGAGTGTAATTTCAGCTGTGCCATTAATATGTTTATATGCAACTGAAAAAAGGACAAAAGTCAGGGCATTAACCCCAGAGGGTTAACACAGAGGTATTCCCCAAAGAGTCAGACGCAGTGTCTTGTTCCCTGTTCTCAGCCCTATAACCCAAACTCTTTCCAAAGAGAATTAATGTATACAATAGCGGATACAGCCCCTTTGGGGCTTGGGCCTTAGTGATGTGTACCTTCAACGGCAAAAAGAAATGGTGGCAAACACTGAAACCCAGAGACCTTTTTGGTTGAAATGTTTTGTACATTGTTGACATGTGAAGAGACTCGAAATCAAAGTAACAGAGACTGTTTTGGTTTTACAACAGCTCTAGAATAAAGTTATTGTTCAGCTAAAGTTAGTTTTCCACGAAGGTTTCCATGTTGAGCAAAACTCTCATAAACACTTTTAACAGGTCTTAAGGCTTTTCTCCGGTGTGAATTCTCATGTTAATGCCCTCTCTCCTGTATGAATTTTTGTATGGTCTTATAAGGTTTAACATTCACCAAAACTCTTTTTGTACACTATTGGCAGGTGAACACCTTCTCTTCGATGTGAACTCTCTTATGCCTGTTAAAGGTTCCCTTTGGTGTTAAACTTCTTCTACACTGTTGGCTGGTGTAAGGCTTCTCTCCGGTGTGAACTCTCATGTGGATTTATAAGGTTTTTACATTGTTCGAAATTGATTTTGAACACTACTGGTAGATGAACGGCTTCTCCCCGATGTGAAGTCTCATGTGGTTCTTTAAGGATTTAAGTTGACTGAAACTCTTTGCACACTGTTGGCAGGTGTAAGGCTTCTCTCCGGTGTGGACTCTCAGATGCCTGTTAAAGGTTCCTTTTTGAGTGAAACTCTTTCCACACACAAGGCAGGTGTAAGGCTTCTCCCCAGTGTGAATTCTCATGTGGTCTTCTAGGTTTCTCTGACAACTGAAACTCTTTCCACACTGTTGGCAGGTGTGACGATTGTCTACAGTGTGAACTCTCATGTGGTTCTTTATGGATCTAAGTTGACTGAAACTCTTTCCACACTGTTGGCAGGTGTAAGGCTTCTTTCTGGTGTGGACTCTCATATGCCTGTTAAAGATTCCTTTTTGAGTGAAACTCCTTCCACACACAAGGCAGGTGTAAGGCTTCTCTCCGGTGTGAACTCTCATGTGGTCTTTGCAGGTTCGATGTTGACAGAAACTTTTTCCACGCTGTTGGCAGGTGAATGTCTTTTCTCCAGTGTGAATTCTTTTGTGGACTTCAAGGTTTCTCTGACTACTGAAACTCTTTCCACACAGGAGGCAGATGTAAGGCTTCTGTCCAGTGTGAATTCTCATGTGGTCTTTTGTGGTTTGATGTTCACAGAAACTCTTTCCACACTGTTGGCAGGTGTCAGGCCTTTCTTCGGTGTGAACTCTCATATGCCTGTTAAAGGATCCTTTTTGAATAAAACTTTTTCCACATTGTTGGCAGGTGAATGGCTTCTCACCAGTGTGAATTCTTGCATGGTCTGCTAAGGTTTGACGTTGATAGAAACTCTTTCCACACTGTTTGCACGTGAACAGCTTCTCCCTAGTGTGAAATCTTACGTGTTCTTCAAATTGTACTTTTTGAGCAAAACTCTTTCCACACAGCTGGCAGATGAAAGGCTTTTCTCCACTGTGAACTCTCATGTGGTGGTTTTTTAAGGTTCGATGTTGATAGAAACTCTTTCCACACTGTTGGCAGGTGTAAGGCTTTTCTCCGGTGTGAATTCTTATGTGGTTCTTTATGGATCTAAGTTGACTGAAACTCTTTCCACACTGTTGGCAGGTGTAAGGCTTCTCTCCGGTGTGGACTCTCATATGCCTGTTTAAGGTTCCTTTTTGTGTGAAACTTCTTCCACACTGTTGGCAGGTGTAAGGCTTCTCTCCGTTGTGAATTCTCATGTGTTCTTTCAAAGTTTGATGTTGAATGAAACTCTTTCCACACTGTTGGCAGGTGAAAGGCCTCTCTCCAGTGTGAACCCTCATGTGTTCTTTCAAAGTTTGATGTTGACTGAAACTCTTTCCACACTGTTGGCAGGTGAACGGCTTCTCTCCTGTGTGAATTCTTATGTGGGCTTCAAAGCGTGTTTTCTGAGTGAAACTCTGTCCACACTGAGGGCATGTGTATGGTTTCTCTTCAGTGTGATTTCTCATGTGGACATTAAGGTTTACTTTTCTGATGAAACTCTGTCCACACTGTTGGCAGGTGTAAGGCTTCTCTCCAGTGTGAAATCTCATGTGGTTTTTTAAGGTTCGATGTTGATTGAAACTCTTTCCACACGTTTGGCAGGTGAAAGGCTTTTCCCCGGTGTGAAGTCTCATGTGGTTCTTTAAGGATCTAAGTTGACAGAAACTCTTTCCACACTGTTGGCAGGTGTAAGGCTTCTCTCCGGTGTGGACTCTCAGATGCCTGTTAAAGGTTCCTTTTTGTGTGAAACTCCTTCCACATTGTTGGCAGGTGAAAGGCTTCTCTCCAGTGTGAACTCTCATGTGGTTCTTTATGGATCTAAGTTGACAGAAACTCTTTCCACACTGTTGGCAGGTGTAAGGCTTCTCTCCGGTGTGGACTCTCAGATGCCTGTTAAAGGTTCCTTTTTGTGTGAAACTCCTTCCACATTGTTGGCAGGTGTAAGGCTTTTCCCCGGTGTGAAGTCTCATGTGGTTCTTTATGGATCTAAGTTGACAGAAACTCTTTCCACACTGTTGGCAGGTGTAAGGCTTCTCTCCGGTGTGGACTCTCAGATGCCTGTTAAAGGTTCCTTTTTGTGTGAAACTTCTTCCACACTGTTGGCAGGTGAAAGGCTTCTCTCCGGTGTGAACTCTCATGTGGTCTGTCCAGGTCCGACGATAATTAAAACCCTTTCCACAATGTTGGCAGGTAAACGGCTTCTCTCCGGTGTGAATTCTTATGTGGGCTTCAAAGCGTACTTTTTGAGCGAAACTCTTTCCACACTGAGAGCATGTGTAAGGTTTCTCTCCAGTGTGAATTCTGATGTGGACTTTAAGGGTTCCCCGATTACTGAAACTCTTTCCACACTGAAGGCAGGAGTAAGGTTTCTCTCCAGTGTGAATTCTCATGTGGACTTTAAGGTGGTTATTCTTATTGAAACTCTTTCCACACTGAAAGCATGAATAGGGTTTCTCTCCAGTGTGAATTCTCATGTGGATGTTAAGGTTTCTATGTAGAGCAAAACTCATTCCACATTGGTGGCAGGTGAATTGCTTCTTTCCAGTTATAATGACTTTAGGTTCTCCATGTCGATTAAATTTCGTACCTAACTTAAAACAAGTTAAATCATTTCTTGTTCTTGTATTTTGAGTGTTTTTTCGCAATGAAGTCTTTTCAGGCTGTGAACAACTGAAAGATTTTTCTCCAGTTAGGAAATCAAGAAGATTTTCATTCTGATCTTTCTCTTCAATTTCATTGCATACTTCCCTCTCCTCCTTCAGTGCCATTAGGTCTAAGGTGAAAAAAGAAAGAAAAACAAAATGTTAACCCCAGTTTAAATAATGGCAATAGACATCAAAACATATATGTAATGAATCAAAATAAAAATGTCTATTCTAGATCCTATATACCAGGGGTGTCCAAACCGTCTCTGGAGGCCCGATGTCCTACAATGTTTAGCTCCAACTTGGCCCAATACACCTGCCTGAAAGTTTCTAAAGTTGCCAGAAGACATTGATCAGCTGGTTCAGGTGCGTTTAACTGGGGTTAGAGATAAACTCTGCAGGACAGGATTGGACAACCCTGTTCTATACCTACTATGCTTTGAAATGAAGATGCACTGGTTGACTGGCTAAAAAATCAGAACCAGATGGTTTTTTTTGGCTGATCTCTATACTGGACTAGCACACACATGGCATTGCAATAATTTCTCAAAATATCTAAATGTGTAGAAATATTATCAGTCAGTGAAAAGAATGTTAACAAGCCAGCAATTCAGAGGAACACGGTCAAGGTTCGAAATGAGGGGGTCTGGGGGGGGGTCCTGGACCCCCCATAATACATTAGGTACCCCCTATAATAATTTATTTTTGGATTTTGGGGGGTCCCCAAAAAATATATTTTTACATGAGAAATTTTAGTGATGTTTTATATTTATAAAAGTAACTAATTTATTTCCTAGCACGAGGCAGCAATCAGGGCAACTATTAGCCGAGTGATTCCTGCCACATCAAATATTGTTTGATTCCAACCGCATCAAATATTATCAGTCAAATTTAGTTGATGTGGTGCTCACGCAGACACATGACACTGTAGCTGAACGCGGCAAAACGAAACCTCCCGAATGAAAATCCTGTAAGTGCTTTGAATATGTTTATATCTCCATAATAACTGCTTATAGTAAAATATCAGGAGTTCAAGTTCCCTTTCAAGGGAACTTCGAGCTGCGTTGTCAAACGTGATGGGAACGCTCTGCGTGATTGTATCATGAAGCGTCTGTACAATCAGTCCAATGAGAGAGTAGGACGTCAGGTGACGTCATTGAGCAGGAAACTATAAAGCATCCCTGAAGTCAGACCGCGACAGCTTCTGTTGCCTTCAGCAAGCGATCTCTGTCTCTGTCTATTTACTGTTGTCTGTCAAGCACACCATCAATGGCGAATCAAGAACTCAAGCATTGTGTTGTTCCTTGAACTCATTTCATCACGGGTGGGGACACACATCAGCTTTGTGCGGCTTGTCTGGGAGTGGAGCATGCCCAGTCAGTTCTCGAGGGAGCTGACTGCGAGCATTATGTGAAGCTTTCTATGAGAACGCTCCGCTCCCGCCGGGCGTTCTTTGAGAAGGACGGTTCAGTCCGCGTTCCCCGAGGTGCGGGTCACACTGTCGCCGAGGCACAGCATCGACTTTCATCTTGGGGTTCGCAAATGGATCTGGTAGCGGGGCTCGAGACGGGCACCGCCCTATCTCAGCCCTTACCTGCTGGATCCTGTGCCTCTGCCCAGGGAGGAGCCCGCTCTGCAGATTCTCCTTCCCGGGCTGAGGCACCATTTCTGAGGAAATGGATGTTGTCAGTGTAACGGAGGCCAGCTAGTAGTTGCTGTGCGAGTAAACCTCACTCCCCGATCTCAATAGGCGCTCTAGCGACAGACGCTAGAGGCTGCAGTCGTTAGCCTCCTTGTTAGAGTGCCCGACTCTCACGCCGGAGACCCGGGTTCGAGGCCCGCTCGGAGCGGGGCGAGTAGGACCCGGGTGGAGGGGTTACATTGGTGCCGTGACCCGGATGAGAGTGAGGTTTAGGGGGGTGAGTGTAACGGAGGCCAGCTAGTAGTTGCTGTGCGAGTAAACCTCACTCCCCGATCTCAATAGGCGCTCTAGCGACAGACGCTAGAGGCTGCAGTCTTTAGCCTCCTTGTTAGCGGGCCTGACTCTCATGCCGGAGACCCGGGTTCAAAGCCCGCTCGGAGCGGGTCGAGTTGGACCCGGGTGTGAGGGGTTACATCAGCATTGATGTGGGGGATCATGATGTTTCGCCAGCTCATACCCCCGGTGATGAGGAGCTTTTGGAGGTGTTATCACTGGCTGTAGCTAGATTAAATATCGACTGGCCAGCTGATGAAAGTGTTTCTAATAAAAGAAGTTTACTTGATGAAAGATTTTTGTCTAAAACACTGCCTCCACGTCGGGGTTTACCAATCTGTCCCGATCTTCACACTGAGGTGGCGAGATCGTGGAATAAACCTGTCTCATTTAGAGTGTTTAACCCGCAGACATCTAATTATAGTAATGTATTAGGTGCTGCTGATCATGGTTATGCGACAATGCCTCGTGCTGAAGAGACGCTTGCGAGCCCTCTCTCTCCAGAGTCATCGTCATCATTAAAAGCCCCGACGTTACCCACCAGACCATTAAAATCTACATCCTCTCTAGTGGGTAAAGCATGCTCGGCAGCAGGTCAGGCTGCGTCATGCTTGCACACAATGACCATACTGCAAGCATACCAGGCTGACCTGCTAAGGGAAATAGATGAACACGAGGAAGTGAGCGCTGACGCAATTTGCGACAGATCAAGCGCTCCGTGCCACTAAGGAGCATTTCTAAGGAGCATGTATGCATTTCCCCCGATATCAATGCCCTGGGAGTTCTGGAAAAAGTTCTCCAGGAAGGGGCTCATCTGTTGTTAGTAAAAGAAAAAGACAGTGTAAGACATTATAAGGTTAAAGAAAGATTTCCCTAACCCTTAAGAGTGTGCATTGCCTTGCACATAAACTAGCTGGCAGTTCACGATTCCCTAAAATGTGTGACAGGATGTAACCACTTTGAACATTTTATATCAAAGTTGTACACAATGCATCACCAATCTACCAAGAATGTACGGCTCCTGTCTGAAGCTGCATCTGCAGTCCATATCAGCCTGCTGAAAATATTAACCATCCACTGGGTTGCCTGCAGTTACAGCACGGTGCAGGCAGTCTGGAAGGATTTCCCAGCTCTTGCACAGCAGATGAGAGCAGCACATATACTGACGCTGCACGAAAGCAGTACACTGGGATGCTGAACAGACTGACCAGTACAGGCTTTGTTACGGACATAGCCACCATGAGAGATGTGCTTCAGGAACTTAAAAGCCTTTCACTGAAACTGCAAGTGAGTACCTATTCATATTTCATATTGTAGAACATGCAATAGATTGTAGTGTGCATTTATGGTTAGACTGATATTTCATGTCACACAAATCTAACAATCTCCTTATATATATATATATATATATATATATATATACACACACATTTCAGAAGAGGAGCACCTCCATAACAGATGCCAGGCGGGACATTAGACTGACAATGGAGGTTTTGGATGCCATGAAGACACATGGGGGTATGTCAATGAGAGAAGCAAAATAATCTTAGATGGAGTTGCCCTGAAGGAAAGCAAAGAGAAGGTCAATTAGCGACAACCTGTCAAGTCGTCTTCCAGATTCTGAACTCACATTAGACCCTCACAACTGGCCCAAAACAAGGGATGAACTGATCTTGTATGGGGAGAAGGAGATACATGAACTTGCAAGGAATCTGGGTGAACCAACCAGAGAGACTGTTGAAGATTTCTGTTCCTGGAAACTGCAAGAGGATCAAAGTGGGAAGACCTTAAGAAGGTTGATAGTTGCAAGCCAAACATATCTAGCAACTTCAGCAGAGCGTAAACGAGGGTTTTCCGCCATGAATGATACAGCCAGTAAGACAAGAAATCGCCTAAGAGTCAGAAGTCTCTCAGCTGTCTTGTTCATCAACATTAATGCAGCCCCATTGGAGATGTTCGACCTGTCCTGGCTTAAAGAGGGGCACTGTCCACCTACTGCAAAGAAGGCAGCAAAGAATAAGAGAGAAGACAGACCACTGTGGTCCATTATGTGTTGATGTAAGACAATACTGCTTTAAAGGTAAATACTGCTTCAAAATAAACAAAATATGTGCCTGTGTAGCAAGGTAGTCAAAAAATCAAAATTTTTCAGACTGATCTCATGAAGTAGCGTGTGTATGACACGCCAATTCGTATTTCCATTTTTGGCGTCCTATCAAGACGCATAATCGCCTTTCAGCGTGTTTATGAACGCCGTTGACTTAACGTTATATAAATATATGACTTACCTCAACCCCGTCCCTAAACCTAACAGTCACTGGGGTTAATGGCATTTATGACTGTTCCCTTACCATCCTAGGAAAAAAAAGATATGACTTACCTCAACCCCATCCCTAAACTTAACCGTCACTGGTGTTAATGGCATTTATGACTGTTCCCTTACCATCATAGGTAAAAAAAAGATATGACTTACCTCAACCCCATCCCTAAACTTAACCGTCACTGGTGTTAATGGCATTTATGACTGTTCCCTTACCATCATAGGTAAAAAGAGATATGACTTACCTCAACCCCATCCCTAAACTTAACCGTCACTGGTGTTAATGGCATTTATGACTGTTCCCTTACCATCATAGGTAAAAAAAAGATATGACTTACCTCAACCCCGTCCCTAAACTTAACCGTCACTGGTGTTAATGGCATTTATGACTGTTCCCTTACCATCATAGGTAAAAAGAGATATGACTTACCTCAACCCCATCCCTAAACTTAACCGTCACTGGTGTTAATGGCATTTATGACTGTTCCCTTACCATCATAGGTAAAAAAAAGATATGACTTACCTCAACCCCGTCCCTAAACTTAACCGTCACTGGTGTTAATGGCATTTATGACTGTTCCCTTACCATCATAGGTAAAAAAAAGATATGACTTACCTCAACCCCGTCCCTAAACTTAACCGTCACTGGTGTTAATGGCATTTATGACTGTTCCCTTACCATCATAGGTAAAAAAAAGATATGACTTACCTCAACCCCGTCCCTAAACTTAACCGTCACTGGGGTCAATGGCATTTATGACTGGAGATTTGACTGCGTGTTTAGACACGCGGAATGACGCGGACGTTAATGGCGTAGACATATACGCATACAC